TTTTTTAATTGCAGGGTAAACTTGATGCACTGTGGGCATTGGTTCGACGAGGCTATGATCAAGTCTCTCTTATGAGGCCACAGCCAGGGGATAAGGTAAGGCATCTCAAATGCACTTCAGTTCACTCCTCTGTTAGTAGCAGCAGTGCTCTTCCTTCCCAATCATCCCATCTTTTTCTTTTTTTCACAAGCTTGTCTCTTTTCACATTGCCCTAAAGCTAAAAGCTAAAAGTATTTAATGTTTCTTGGATTTAATGATGGAATTCACTAATATTATTGAGAGACATCATGAAGTGTACAGATGATAAAAAAAACAAATCATAGCAAGGTTAATGGAGGACAAATTTGGTGTTGAATTCTGTGCAGACACATTTCTCAGTCATTTCATAGGCAGAGAGTATCTCCTGCCTTGATGACATCTATTGGCCAAAAGTAGGTCAGGAGTAGACTCCTCCTGGGAGGAAGCAGGGAGTTTGTGCTTTTGAGAGCCACAAAGATGTCTGTGTACTGTCCCTGGGTCACTGGAAATAGCTGAGTTCGGAGCTCTCATAGTTTCCCCAGGTGAGCCTGGCACTGTTATGGTTGTCTCTGTTTTGTTATGCTGAGGGGACAACTCCCTAAGAATTGAGCGCTGCGGCTTTGAGCTGTTTCACCATCAAGGTTTTGCCTTCTGMAATGATGCTTTGAAACATGAGGACTAAGCAGACACAACAGCATCTTTCTCTACCCTGTGGGCAGAGTCCATACGTTTCATCACYTTGGCTCTCAGGTGAAGGGATTATAGAATTACAGCAATAGGGACCATACAGCGCTTTTTGGAGGTAGGATGGTGCAGAGGCCCAGGCTTGTTTGCCTGGATAACTTTCACATCTAATGACAGACTTTTAAAGTAGCTTTAATTTGCATCAGCTAGGGCAGTAAGTTGCATGTCTCTTGCTTTTGGCAAAATATTATGTCGTTTGTCTGGTTATTAACCAAACATGCTGCTTCAGTATTTAAAGTTTAATCTCTTCTCTTTTTCTTTTGGCACATAAGGAAACTAAGAGAACAAACCCAGYTTCTTATACTACTTTGTAAAATGGTCTGAAATGGTTCACTAAGCTGCCTTTTCAAGGCAGCTGTGCTTGATACACCTTATTTACTTTTTGAGCATGATCTAGAGCTTCTGAATGGGCTCTTTAGGTCCAGCTGTATTTTGATAGCTAACATTGTATAATATGAATCTATCCTCTGCCTTTCACTCCCTTGGCTGGGACATTTCTATCAGTGCAGAGCACAACAGAGYCTCTGTTAGCCAGCGTGGTCAAGAAACATGCAGGGGGCTGGCTCAGAACAGGGATCCTCAGTTCCTYGCCTTCCAGCTCTGCTGTGGGGAGAACAAGGGGCTGAAAAGAGGCAATGTAAAACAGCAAGCTGAGGGATTATTGTATCAGGGATAACATAAGAAAAATCAAATGTACATCTGGGAAATAGGGTGGAAAGAATCCTATTGAGCCAGATCCAGTGGAGTCACAGAATCGTCCCTGTTCCCTGGCCTGTGAAATTAACTGAGGCTGAAGAATATTGAAAGTGAAACAAGAAAATAAGTAGACGGCCTTCTGCTGTTTGAAAAAGAGAAAAGGCCATCACAGGCCTGTATTTCTTGGAGAAAACTAGYACAGAGAGGAGCAAGTTTATTATTTATTCTTTGGGTAACTTCTCTAGTAGCAGTCTGTCAGTGGATAATTGACTCCTAGTAAGTTAGGTTTTTGGTGGGGGGGTGGTGTGTATAAATACACCTGAATGTACACATAAGTAAATGTGAGTTTGCACACACATGCACTCTCATTGTGGCTGAGGAGCTGGGAGATCAGGCAGTGACCAGCAGCATGGAGAGCTTGGAGCTCTGGCTGTGCAGAGCTTCCCCAGGAGCGAGGCCAGAGCTCTGTGCACCTCAGCCCAGATGGGACAGGGTCACTTTTTGTCACAGGGTTTAGCTTGGGCTTGGGCAGATGTGAGTGTTCAGCCTGGCACGTCTTGGTGCATTGTGTTCTACCAGAGTGTGCCATCCAGAGGCCAGGACTGAGTGGTGATCTTGGACTGAGAGATTGCTTTGGTGCGTGTGGTTTTCAGGGATTGGGGTGGGGGAGCAGGGGAAAGAGTTCTTGGTGGAGTCCGAGTGCACCTTTTTTCTTTTATTTTAAGGTCATTTCATAGCTGTCTTGGCTRTACAGGAAAACTTAGAGCTTAGAAAGCAAAAGGAACACAATTTTGTCACTCCAAAATGGGAGTGACRTTTTAATTCATAACTCGGAAAATGCCTAAATCTGAAGTTCCCAGAATCAAACAAGGCATTTCCTTTAAATTTTCAGGGATTACCAGAGATATAGGCTGTTTCCCACTGGAAAGGATTCAATGAAGCTATATTTTCCAAATTTCTGTTTCACAGTTTACCTCCATTCTGAAAAAAAGTTTCCATTTTCCATTTTTACTACTTCGGTTGGGTTCCTTTCTGCAGCCATTGGATGGAATTATAGCAAACCACTTTCTTTCTGTGTAGTAAAATACTCATTATGGAGAACATTCACAAGACAGGAAGAAAAATATTTTTCACAAGGCTTTTGGACAGGGGGAAGATGAAAAAGGATTTATAATTTTTTTTTTTACATTAAAACATTATGGTTTTACATTAAAACAATCTTTAGACAGTTTTTTGAAAGATGTAATTTTTTTCTCCCCCTCAAAAATCTGAAAAGTACTTATAGAAAAACTGTGATTGTTTTTTTTTTTGTTTTTGTATATTCACCAATGTGTCTGGCTTTGTCACAGAGAAGCAAAAGTCTGTTACAGTTTTTGACAGCTTTTCAGCATCTTCCCCCACAACACAGATCTCTTGTCCTTGGGTCTGCAAACCATACAGCAAAGGCAGTATTGCTATCCTGGATTTTTCAACCATGACTTCTTACCCATTCCCATCATGAAGTGAAGTTAAAAATAGCACTGTTTGTATATTTTTGAGTCTCCATGTGGGAAAGCCCATTCCAGAGTGTATTGAGAGCCTTGCAATAGGAATAGAGACTGAAGTATGTGTGCAGTAATGCAGGACTCACTGCTGCAGGGCGTTTCCATTGTCCTTTCCTCYGAATGAGAAGGTCTGCAGTCCTTCCATCTGTTTTTCTTCCTTCATCACGGTCCTGTTGCCATTCCCCATCCCGCTCTTTTCCTTACCTGTGCCCTGCTTGGACTCCTGTCCTAGACATTGCCTTCCATTCCCTTCTGTGGGTTCTTCCTCGTTTTCTCTCTCAGTTTTTGCCCTTCCTCTTGATGAGACAGACTGGTTTCCTGCAGCCCTGTCTTGGGAAGCAATGGGAGCTGCTCCCCAGCCTCCTTACCCTTTCCTCTCCTGCTGCAGGACCTGAGCTGCTGATAGCATCTCGCTCATGCCTATAGCCTTGCTGCAGAGCTGGCTGAAGCTCTGAGAGTTCCCCTGCCCTGGCTCATGCCTTCCATGAACTCATCAAAAAAGGGATTTCAGGATGGATGATGTATGAGGCAGGATTGTATTAATAGGACTGTATTAATCSTTGTGAAAATCACAGGAACTTTTTGGAACTGGCTACTTAAAGGAAGCCAGCCAAGCACAAGCTCCTTCTCCTGTGTGCCCACAGTGTTTTGCTTGGCTCTACAGACAGCTCCTCCTCTTGGTCTCCATTCAAGATCTTATCATAGCACCACCACTGAAATGTATTAGTTTGGCAAGTACCTCAGTGAAGGGTCACTGRATGCCACTCACTTGACTTCCTCAGGTCACCTCTAGCAGGAATTTTTGTTGCACCAGGATGGGACAACAAGGAATAAACACACTTAGCTCTACCCCATCATTAACAGCTAGGCTGTTATTTGTGGCGTGGAGTTTTGCTGAGCTCTCAGACAGCATCAGCAGAGGAGTGAAGTGRTAGAAAAGTGCTGGTGGCTCTGTGGTAGATTGCTGGGCTTTCTGCCTTGCAGTCTACAAAGGTGAAGCCTTCATAGGCATTTGTGCTGCTGCTGCTGCAGTGATGGATCCCTYAGCTGCTATTCTTCCCTTCCTTTCTCAGAAATCTATGTTTTAGAGGAACAGCAGTCMCTCTTTTGGCCCAAGAAAGGGATTGACAGCTGTAAGGTGAGGACACTGCTCAACCAGCCCCAGGGACTATGTCAGCGTGTCCATATGGCCTGATGGGCTGTGTGTTGCTCAAGATACTCAGATTTCCTTGAAGACTTTCCCATCGCTGTATTGGTGTTCTCCTGCCCCTGCAGCAGCTGCTTTAAAGGTTGGCGTTTGGGAAATATTAGTGGTTGGCGAGCTTGAAATATTTCATACAAACCACATTTGCTGGTAGGGCRGGTTGTCAATAGTCCCTGCAAAGAGTAAGTTTCAAGCTCTTCCCCTTGGCCTCACAGTTCAAAAGTGGGTTGTTACCCATGGCAGCAGGTAAACACTGAAAGCCTCGTGTAGGCAGAGAGGAAAGGGAGGTGCTTTCAAATGGTCTGTTAGTTGCTGCTTTCAGCAAATCCATTCCATTTCGCTTCTCAGCACATACTGATTGATGCAGGAAATTCTTAGAGGCTCGGTTTACCAAAATCCTTGACTAAACAACCAACATTTTTCCCCTCAGGCAGAATTGATAATTTACTTTAAAGACTTWAAAAGTGATCTCATTATTGTCACTGAAAATTTTGTAGCTGCAACAGWGAGGAATTGTAGACTGGATTTTGCTGTCACCATCTCCTTGTATACCCGTGGGACTTTACTTAGAAAAAAAGCAATGCCTTAGCAGTTCTACTCTTAGCCTGTGTTTTGTACATGTAAAGCCCGTTTCTGGGGAAGGGGGCTAGAAGCAGGCTGTTGCACARAAATCTGAAAGCCTTTTTGCCTTTTTCTGTTCCATGAAACTGAGATTAATAGGCTGCTGTGCATTGAAAAATGTCACAAACTATGAGCTGCTGGTCATTTTAGAAGCCAGAACTTCAGCATGCTCCCAAGTTCTCACCTTTGAGTTACAGTGTGATTTTAAACAAGGTGTAGCAGCTGGAATTTTAAACARCAACCTTTGAAATGAGGAGTATGTGGGTTC